AGCACGCTGCACAGCACAGCCATCCTGATCAGTGTGCTTACAGTGAAGAACCTCCCACCCCCTAGTAACACACACCCCGCCCTCTAGTAGCACACACCCCGCCCTCTAGAAACACACACCGCCGCCCTCTAGTAACACCCCCCGCCCTCTGGAAACACACACTTTGCCCTCTAGTAACACACACCCCCCCCCTAGTAACACACACTCTGCCCCTAGTAACACACACCCTCCCCCCTAGTAACACACACCCCACCCCCCCCTAGTAACACACACCACCGCCCCCTAGTAACACACACCCCGCCCTCTAGTAACACACACCACCGCCCCCTAGTAACACACACCCCGCCCTCTAGTAACACACACCACCGCCCCCCCCCTAGTAAACACACCCCTGCCCCCTAGTAACACACACCCCACCACCTAGTAAAACACACCCCGCCCTCTAGTAACACACACACCCCGCCCCCTAGTAACACACACCCCGCCCTCTAGTAACACACACCCAGCCCCCTAGTGACACACACCCCACCATCTAGTAACACACACCCCACCCTCTAGTAACACACACCCCGCCCCCTAGTAAACACACACCCGCCCCCTAGTAACACACACCCCACCTCTAGTAACACACACCCCGCCCCCTAGTAACACACACCCCGCCCTCTAGTAACACACACCCCGCCCCCTAGTGTAACACACACCCCGCCCTCTAGTGAACACACAGTGACACACACCCACCCTCTAGTAACACACACCCCACCCTCTAGTAACACACACCCACCCCTGCCCCCCTCTAGTAACACACACCCCGCCCCCTAGTAACACTAGTAACACACACACCCCCCCTCTAGTAACACACACCCCGCCCCCTAGTAACACACACCCCACCCTCTAGTAACACACACCCCACCCTCTAGTAACACACACCCCGCCCCCTAGTAACACACCCCGCCCCCTAGTAACACACACCCCGCCCTCTAGTAACACACACCCCTAGTAACACCCCGCCCTAGTAAAACACACGCCCCCCGCCCCCTAGTAACACACACCCCAGCCCCCTAGTAACACACACCCGCCCTCTAGTAACACACACCCCCCCCTCTAGTAACACACACACCCGCCCTCTAGTAACACACACCCCACCCTCTAGTAAACACACCCCGCCCTCTAGTAACACACCCCGCCCTCTAGTAACACACACACCCCCGCCCCCCCTCTAGTAACACACACCCCACCCTCTAGTAGTAACACACACCCCGCCCTCTAGTAACACACCCCCCACCCTCTAGTAACACACACCCCACCCTCTAGTAACACACACCCCACCCTCTAGTAACACACACCCCACCCTCTAGTAACACACACCCCGCCCTCTAGTAACACACACCCCGCCCTCTAGTAACACACACCCCGCCCTCTAGTAACACACACCCCGCCCTCTAGTAACACACACCCCACCCTCTAGTAACACACACCCCTGCCCTCTAGTAACACACACCCCGCCCTCTAGTAACACACACCCCACCCTCTAGTAACACACACCCCCCCTCTAGTAACACACCCCCCCCCTCTAGTAACACACACCCCGCCCTCTAGTAACACACACCCCACCCCTAGTAACACACACCCCTGCCCTCTAGTAACACACACCCCAAGTAAAACACACACCCTGCTCCTGCCCTCTAGTAACACACACCCCACCCCCTAGTAACACATACCCCGCCCTCTAGCAACACACACCCCGCCCCCTATAAGTCGCTGATCGCCGCCATTACTAGTAGGGAAAAAAATCCCAGTCTATATACCTCCATTTGTAGACGCTATAACTTTCATGTAAACCAATTAATTTCCTCGTATCGGGATTTGCTTTTAGCGAAGACACAGCGGGAGACATTTTGGCTGAAATTTATGACGAAATTTGATTTTTTAAATTTTTTTTACTGGACGTGTTTAATAGCAAAAAGTCTAAAATATTGTTTTTTTTTCTCAAAATTGTCGTTTTTTTTTTTGCTTATAGAGCAAAAATTAAAAAACACAGAGGGGATCAAATACCACCAAAAGAAAGCTCAAGTCATGGGAAAAAGATGTAAATTTCATTTGGGTGCAGAATTGCACGACCGCGCAATTGTCAGTTAAAGTAACACAGCGCCGTAATGCAAAAAAAATAGCCTGGTCGGGGGGGGGGGGGGGGTTTAAAGTAGGTAAGTCATGGTCAGGGGTCAGGAGACCAGCAGCTATAACAGTAGAGAGGCTTCCATTGACCAGCTGGATGAGAACACAAGCAGGTCACCCTGGTGGATTACTTGGGATCACCCGAGGTGTGGGGTCTAAGCACTAACCAGTATTCACCAGAGCTCCTGATGGTGGGGATGGGTTTTGCTGAGTGTTAGTACCAGGCCAGGGTCCTCAGGATCACCCCACCAGGAGGTGAGCAAGTCAGGGTCCAGTAGCAGATAGGGGTCAAGCAAGAGCATATTTGAGGAACAATCCAAAGGTCGGTAACAAGTGTTTGCAGGTTGGTGTCAAGCAGAAGTGTAGTCGAGGAACAAGCCAAAGGTCGGTAACGAGTGGTAGTGGAGATAAGCAGAAGCTGCAAGAACAACAAGGTAACAAGTGGTTCCAGGTCGGTGTCAAGCAGAAGCGAGAGGAACAAGCCAAATTCTGGCAAACTCTGTTGCCCAACCCCGGTGCCCAGGAGAACCGGCAATCCCTTCTTCCAGATATCGGCGCTCCCCTCACTCCGCTCTGTTGCCCAGGCTCTGGTGACCAGGAGGAGAACCGGCATCCCTTCTTCCAGGGGGCGGCGCTCCCCTCACTCTGCTCTGTTGCCCACCCCTGGTGCCCAGCCCTGGAGCCCAGGAGAAGCAGCATCCCTTTTTCCAAGGGGAATCGCTGCCTTCACTCTGCTCTGTTGCCCAGGAGAACCGGTGCTCCCCTCACTCCGCTCTTTTGCCCGGCCCTAGTGCCCAGGAGAAACTGGTGCTCCCCTCACTCCGCTCTGGTGCCCAGGAGAAACTGGTGCTCCCCCCACTTTCCGCTCTGTTGCTACCCCTGGTGCCCAGGAGAACCGGTGCTCCCCTCACTCCGCTCTGTTGCCTACCCCTGGTGCCCAGGAGAACCGGCATCCCTTCTTCCAGGGGGCGGCGCTCCCCTCACTCCGCTCTGTTGCCCAGGCCTGGTGACCAGGAGAACCAGCATTCCTTCTTCCAGAGGGGTGAAGCTCTCTTCACTCCCCTCTGTCACCCAACCCCAGTGTCAAGAAGAACTGGCATCTCTTCTTCTAGGGGGCAGCGCTCCCCTTGCTCTGCTCTGTCGCCCAGCCCCGGTGCCCAGGAGAACTGGCATCCCTTTTTCCAGGGGGGTGGCGCTCCCCTCACTCCACTCTCTTGCCCAGCCCTGGAGCCCAGGAGAAGCAGCATCCCTTCTTCCAAGGGGAAGCGCTCCCTTCACTCTGCTCTGTTGCCCAGGAGAACCGGTGCTCCCCTCACTCCGCTCTTTTGCCCGGCCCTAGTGCCCAGGAGAACCGGTGCTCCCCTCACTCCGCTCTTTTGCCCGGCCCTAGTGCCCAGGAGAACCGGTGCTCCCCTCACTCCGCTCTGGTGCCCAGAACTGGTGCCCAGGAGAACTGGCATTCCTTTTTCCAGGGGGCGATGCTCCCCTCACTCCACTCTGTTGCGCAGGCCTGGTGCCCAGGAGAACCAGCATCCCTTCTTCTGGGGGGGCGGTGCCACCCCCCTGAAAAATTCCACCCGAGGCAAGTATGCCCCTGACCCCAAGAGGCAGATGTGTGCTTTGCCGCACTTTGTCGCTCGACAAAATGGGCAACAAACGTGGCAAATCACACTCTGAAAAAATGCTTGACGCTCCACAACTGAGACTCCAAGTCCTGGAGCTACTGGGGCAGTTGTTGCGTGTAGGCGTGGCACACGTTAAAAAGCGGGAATGCGTGTTCCCACTACGCTCAGGTGCGAATGAGGCCCTTGGGTGCAATCACCTGACATGCCACTACCAGCCAGATACGACGCGTTCAGTTGAAGCCGTTCGCTCGTCACAAGTCGTCTCCACAAACGATTCTCCGCCTGTTGTTGTCGCGTCCTTCGAGGGACGACTTGCAGGAATGTGCGACGTCTGCTCTGAGGTTAAACCGCCACATTTACTAAGAGGCGTGGAATAAAGGAAGTCGCTATTCTTGAGTCGTCATGGAAACGTAAAGCCAGGATGATCTTTTAAAAAAAAAAAAGCAAGAGCTCCCCCATCTTGTCGCCTCCCTCCCCCGAAGGGTTTAATTGTTCTGTTTATCCGCAGACCCCATTGTCCTCTGCGAAGAACGGACCCTCTGTCATGAAATCGGCTTTTACCAGCTTTCTCCGAACGGCGATCTGCGTTCTGTGAATATCGACTTCCCATCGTTCGCGGCGGTCTCTGGCAGTGTCCTCGGTCTCTCAGCCCGCTTTCACACCAATGGAAACGCTGCGAATCCGGTGCATTTCCCGCAACGCATGGCAATCGCATGTGATCTGATGCGGGTGTCAATGACAAATGAATGACACCCCGAAACAGATCGCAGAACACAGACGCAGCTGATCACGGGATGTGCTAAAAGGCCAAAGACTGGAAACGCCCCACGGTTGGGGCCCTAAGGAAGAGGGATACCCTCAAAACGCGTCAGCATGACCTTGGTCCTTGGATGGCAGTTCTGTGGCGTCAGGACTTACTGGCTCCTTGTGGACAGACACATCGAGTAACTGTCACTGTTTATGCGATCTTTTATCATAACTTATTTTACGTAAATAATAATCTATCTGGGATCAGACCAGTGCGCTCTTGTTTCATTTTCTAAGGCCCAGAGCCCCGCCTGTGTGCAGTTCAGTAAATGGGTTTGTGTTTTTATATCTACTTTATAAATATTTTTTTATCTACCTTTAAGTATATACTTTACATCTACAGCATTTATATATATATAAAGTAGATGTTTATTCTGCTTTTGTTTTTTGCTGATACACCTGTGTAGGATTGGAGGGGAGGAGCCAGTACACCTGTGTAGGATTGGAGGGGAGGAGCCAGTACACCTGTGTAGGATTGGAGGGGAGGAGCCAGTACACCTGTGTAGGATTGGAGGGGAGGAGCGGGTAAAACTGTGCAGGACTGGAGAGGAGGATCCGGTACTCCTGTGTAAGACTGAAGGGGAGGAGCCAGTACACCTGTGCAAGACTAAAGGGGAGGAGCCGGTACACCTGTGCAAGACTGAAGGGGAGAGCTGGGACACCTGTGCAAGACTGAAGGGGAGGAGCTGGTACACCTGTGTAAGATTGGAGGAGGAGCCAGAACACCTGTGCAAGACTGAAGGGGAGGAGCCAGCACACCTGTGTAAGATTGGAGGAGGAGCCAGAACACCTGTGCAAGACTGAAGGGGAGGAGCCAGTACACCTGTCCAAGACTGAAGGGGAGGAGCCAGTACACCTGTGCAAGACTGAAGGGGAGGAGCCGGTAAACCTGTACAAGACTGAAGGGGAGGAGCTGGTACACCTGTGCAAGACTGAAGGGGAGGAGCCGGTACACCTGTGCAACACTGAATGGGCGGAGCCGGTACACCTGTGCAAGACTGAATGGGAGGAGCTGGTACACCTGTGCAAGACTGAAGGGGAGGAGACGTTACACCTGTGCAAGACTGAAGGGGAGGAGTCGGTACACCTGTGCAAGACTGAATGGGAGGAGCCGGTACACCTGTGCAAGACTGAAGGGGAGGAGCCGGTACACCTGTGCAAGACTGAAGGGGAGGAGCCGGTACACCTGTGCAAGACTGAAGGAGGCAGAAGTCAGATCTAAAGTTTACTTTTGCACATCTTTTCACAAACAGTTGCAGGTTGGCGATGTCGTCACTCACCTCTGATGTCGGTTCTGTGATGATGATAAAACGCGAGGAGTGATGGATGAATTATTCCGCTTGCTGTCTGGACGATTCGCGGGTCATTTTCACAGCGTCAGCCTCGCCCGCTCTCCTCCTGATCTGCCCGCCATCGCCTCGTTCTTCATGTTGAGCGATTGTAGTCGCGGCTCCGGCGGATCACATTCTTCCTCCTTTGGCAGCTTTTGTGTTCGGCTGCTTATCTGAGCTGCCGGGAGGATTATTGATCTCATGATACCGACTTTCTTCATTCACTGCAGACCGAACGTCGGACCCATTCTTCTCTGTGACGTCTATGGAGGCCGAATCATGCGTCCTCCATGATGGATCACATGACTGTCCCTGGTGATGCTGTCATCTGATTTTCTCTCCAGAAAGACGGCGCCATCTTTGTTCAGGCATCATCCAGGGTCACCTTCTACTTCCTGGACTGAGATGCCACCTCAGATGTGACACAATCGTATAAATCCTGGTGCCTGTGTTCACAAATGTCTGACACAGATCAGCCCCTGCTGAAGCTTTTCACCTTGTGACTTGCTACAAAGTTACAATGTACAGTCTGATCACTGGGGGAGGGGAAACTGAGGAAATGCCTGCTCCTTCTACAAAGTTACAATGTACAGTCTGATCACTGGGGGAGGAGACTGAGGAAATGACTCCTCCTCCTTCTACAAAGTCAATGTACATCTACAGTCTGATCACTGTACAGTCTGGGGGAGGGGAGACTGAGGAAATGACTCCCTCCTCCTTCTACAAAGTTACAATGTACAGTGCTGATCACTGAAGGGGAGGGCCGGGTGAGACTGAGGAAATGACTCCTCCTCCTCTTACAAAGTTAGGAATGTACAGTGCAAGAGACTGACGGGGAGGAGCCGGTACACCTGTGCAAGAAGGGGAGGAGCCGGTACATCTGTGCAAGACTGAAGGGGAGGAGCCGGTACACCTGTGCAAGACCATGGGGAGGAGCCGGTACACCTGTGCAAGACTGACGGGGAGGAGCTGGTACATCTGTGCAAGACTGTAAGGGGAGGAGCCAGTACACAGACTGAAGGGGAGGAGCCGGTACACCTGTGCAAGACTGAAGGGGAGGAGCCGGTACACCAGTGCAAGACTAAAGGGGAGGAGCCAGTACACCTGTGCAAGACTAAGGGGAGGAGCCAGTACACCTGTGCAAGACTGAAGGGGAGGAGCCGGTACACTGTGCCAGACTGAAGGGGAGGAGCCTGTACACCAGTACTGAAGGGGAGGAGCCTGTACACCTGTGCAAGACTGACGGGGAGGAGCTAGTACCAGTACACCTGTGCAAGACTAAGGGGAGGAGCCAGTACACTTGTGCCAGACTGAAGGGGAGGAGCCGGTACACCTGTGCTGAAAGGAGCCTGAAGGGGAGGAGCCAGTACACAGTGCAAGACTAAGGGGAGGAGCCAGCACTTGTGCAGACTGAAGGGGAGGAGCCGGTACACCTGTGCAAGACTGAAGGGAGGAGGAGCCAGTACACTTGTGCAAGACTGAAGGGGAGGAGCCGGTACACCTGTGCAAGACTGAAGGGGAGGAGCCAGTACACCTGTGCCAGACTGAAGGGGAGGAGCCAGTACACTTGTGCAAGACTGAAGGGGAGGAGCCGGACCTGGGCAAGACTGAAGGGGAGGGGCAGTACACCTGTGCCAGACTGAAGGGGAGTGCAGTAAGCAAGACTGGAGGGGAGGAGTGCAAGACTGGAGGGGAGGAGCCGGTACACCTGTGCAAGACTAAGGGGGAGGAGCCAGTACACTTGTGCAAGACGGAAGGGGAGGAGCCAATACACCTGTGCAAGACTGAAGGGGAGGAGCCAGTATACCTGTGCCAGACTGAAGGGGAGGAGCCAGTACACCTGTGCCAGACTGAAGGGGAGGAGCCAGTACACCTGTGCCAGACTGAAGGGTGCAGAAGTCAGATCTAAAGTTTACTTTTCCACATTTGTTTACAAACGCAGTTGCAGGTTGGCGATGTCGTCACTCACCTCTGATGTTGGCTTCTGTTCCGTGATGATGATAACACGCGAGGATCTATGATCTTTTCTTGCACACATACATGTCAGGTATTCCCGCGGTGATCATGAATAAATCCCAAGCTTTGCTTGTGTGTTTTTTTTTCTCCCTATGATCATCAGCGCCATCTAGTGGCCATCATGTGGTAATGACCTGAAACACCTCAGTGAGGAAACGACTACATTATGACCACCAGATGGCGCTGTCGATCCTAAGAAATAAAAATATTAGGCAACACAGGAGAATTATTCATGGCGGCCGAGGGAAGGCCGAGACGTCGGCACAGCAAATATTTTTATAAGCGGACCCCAGAGAGTGTCGCGACGCCTGGCGCTCGGCGTGGATCTACACCGCCACGAAGATCAATTTTCTGCTGTAAATAAGAGATTCTTCTGGCGCTCATTAAACAATAAAAGTGAAATGTGGACAGCGGGGTGACGCGGGGGGAGCGGGGCGACGCGGGGGGAGGCGGGGCGACGCGGGGGGAGTCGTTCTTTATCAGAACTTCAGGGAAAGGTCACGGTATGAAAAATATATTTGCGTATCTTGTCAGGAGATTTTTCTTTCTCAAGTTCTGAAGTTCAGAGAATTTTGTTTTCCGCCTATCTGTGTGATATCAACATCAGCAGACATTTTGTTCCGCGCTTTTTTTTTTTTCCCCTGAAAGGTTGCGTGAGACGCGTTTCCAGAATCCTCTCTGCCTATTAAGAACACAGCTGCTAACTGCATCATAAAGGTCACCTGTATATCAAAGGCTCGCATCGCTTTGGCCGTGATTTATGGCGGCCATTTCTTGGCGGAGCGATGACAGGGGAGGCGGCTCAAGGTGAGCGCCTGAAGCCAGTCCTGCCGTCAGACCGCCGTTCGCTGGAACGATTGTCAGCTATGTGCCGCGATTGGTCTACATCGATCTTTACAAGGCATTATCAATGGGGACGAGAGAGAAGGTGGAGATCTGCAGGGTCCCCACCAGGGGCGGACTGACAACTCATGGGGCCCCCAGGCAATAGGGGATCATGGGGCCCCTGTGTCCTTGCCCAAACTCAAAAAAGCCTATGAAAAAGGTACCAGGGGCACTCATGGGGCCCCCTACTGACCCCGGGCCCTCGGGCAGTGCCTGAGTTTCCAAATGGTCAGTCCACGCCTGGATCCCCACTCATGTGTAGGTGGCTCTCCATACAGGGGGCATGCTTAGGTCCTCAGGTAGGTAGGTAAAAATAATAATAATAATTAATAATAAAATAAAAATCTTATATTATAATTAAAGTTATAAATTTCATCAAAGATGTAAAAAAAAAATAATAATAAATTAATAATATAAATAAAATAATAAAAAAATAAAATTATTATTATTAATTATTTATTGTTGTTGTTATTATTTATTATTAATATTAGTAGTAGTAAATTATAAATAAAATAATAATATTAACAACAATAATAATGATAAAAAAAAAAAAAAACAAAAAATAAAAATATAACTTATGACAAATAATAATATACAAATAAAAAAAAAAATAAAAAAAACAATTAAACTTTTACATTAATAATTATTTAAAAAAATATGAAAAAATAAAAAAAGATTAAATCAATAATAAAATAAAAAAAAAAAATAAATAATAATTAATAGCAAAAAATAATAATAATAATAAAAAAATAAAACACAAAAAATATTATTATTACTTTTATTGTTGTTGTTATTATTATTATTATTAGTAGTAGTAATTATGACATAAATAATAAATATTAACAACAATAATGATAAAAATAAAAAAAAACAATAAATAATTAATATAAAGCAAATAAAATAATAATAATAATAATATAAAAAATAAAATAAAACATAAAAATGATTATTATTACTTTTATTGTTGTTGTTATTATTATTATTATTTATAGTAATTATTAAAAAAAAAATTTAATGACATAAATAATAAAAATTATTAACAACAATAATGATAAAAATAAAAAAAAACAATAAATAATAATATAAAGCAAATAATAATAATAAAAATAAAAAAAAAAAAAATATAAAATAATAATAAAATAAAATAAAATAAAAAACAAAAAAATATTATTATTACTTTTATTGTTGTTGTTATTATTATTATTATTATTAAGTAAAAATTATGAATAAATAATAAAAATTAACAACAATAAATAAAAATAAAAAAAAACAATAAATAATAATATAAAGCAAATAATTAAATAATAATAATAATAATAAATAAAATAAAACATAAAAATGAAATATTATTACTTTTATTGTTGTTGTTAAATTATTATTATTATTATTAGTAGTAGTAATTATGACATAAATAATAATATTAACAACAATAATGATAAAAAAAAAAAAAAACAATAATAATAATATAAAGCAAAAATAATAATAATAAAAAATAAATAAAATAAAACATAAAAATGATTATTATTACTTTTATTGTTGTTGTTATTATTATTATTATTATTAGTAGTAATTATAATAAATAAATAATAATAAAACAGCAAAAAAATGAAAAAAAAAAAAAAAACAATAAAAATAAAAAAAAAAAGCTAAATAATTAATAAAAATAAAAAATAAAACATAAAAATGATTATAAAAAAAAATCATCCTTAAAAAAATTAAAATTACCAAAGTAAAAATTATGAAAAATAATAATATTAACAAATAATAATATTATCAAAAATAATGATAATAAAAAAATAAAAAAAAAATAAAATAAAAAACCAAACAAAAGTGATGAAAAAGAGCGCCGGTTTGTTATTGATGGGGTAGAATGTTAATTTATCTAACCAAAAATCAGGATTTTAAAGGCC